ATAATAATAATAATAATAATAATAATAATAATAATAATAATAATAATAATAATAATAATAATAATATATTAATTTTATATATATCTAGTCAATGCAATACATTAGTACCAATTTGCTATCTAATATAATTTGCATGCAAAAAAGCTAGCGGAGTAAAAATGCGTTTATAATAGCAGATAGGTGTGGCAAGGTAGATAAATTTCTCTAATTTATTCTTTGTTTAAAAACACCACAAGGTGTTCATTATAACCTATACAATTCTAAATGACTACGGACCTATTGAGTTATAGAGGTATGGGAAGGGGGAGGAAGGGGGAGATAATAATTAACTAATTAATAATCTCACCATTTTCCCTCTTCATTTTCAAATTGCTGCACACTGTATCCAAACATGTCTTCCACAGGACCACTAAAAGTCATCGTATCTTTCACATCAACGTTGGATGACAAAGAAAGATGCAGCAGAACTGTTTTTTGTTTTTAAAAAAGAAAACAATGGAGAGGATTGAGCTGGTCTCAATGACAAAGTTTTGTTGTTGTTGTTATTGTTAGTTGTGAAGTCATGTCTGACACATTATGAACCCATGGACCATGTGTCTCCAGGCCTTCTTGTCCTCTAGCATCCCCTGGAGTCCATTTAAGCTCATGTTTACTGTATCGGTGACTCCATTCAGCCATGATAGTCATTCTCTGTCATCCCCTTCTTCTTTTGCCCTCAATCTTTCCCAGCATTAGGCTGGGAAAGTTTACATGCTACCTAAAAAGTTTACATGCTAGCTAAAAGCCATCAGAAATTTGAAATTGAAATACATTCTCAGCAACAGTGATCTGGGAAACACATGACAGCATATGATAACAGATATGTTGAAGGCTTCCTATTAGACTGTTGTGTGTTAAATTTGCTACTTCAGTGGACTGTTAAATAGTAAAGCTTCTTTGGAATCAAATATTCTGTTGTCACCACAGCATCTGCTCAGTTCTGTGTAATGGATAAAGTTTTTATTGGGATGGAATATAGAAGATGGAATATGGGATTTGATCTGAAAGCCATCAGCTGCTGGAAGATTCCTGGGCTTTCTTTTGCAGTTGGTTGGCCGCTGTGAAAGCAGACAGCTGGACTAGATGGGCCAAAGGTATGATGAAGCAGGGTGTTGCTTAGGTTTTGATGATTGCCAAAACCAGATTCATATCTTTCCTCAGCTGTAGTACAATTTGTCATGTTGTCACTAACTATGATGGAGGAAAGGAAACAGAAAGAGAGCAATACCATGAACAGACCATATCTTTGCACTATATGATGAAGAAAAGAATTCAAAGCATTGTTTTCTAAAGGGTAGACTGTTTTGTCTTTAGTATAACCTCTCACCAGATTGTTACCCTGTTTCTCCGAAAATAAGACCTCCCCAGATAATTAGCCCAATCGGGCTTTTGAGCGCACGTGCTAAAATAAACCCTCCCCTGAAAATAAGCCTTCCCTGAAAATATTGCAACACAGCAGCAGGCCATGAGGTGACCACGCTCGCCACCTCCTGCACCTCAAAAATAATAAGACAAGAAATAAGGCCAAGAGCTTATTTCGGAGGTCAAAAGAAAATAAGACCCTGTCTTATTTTGGGGAAAACAAGGTATCTAAATAGCACATACTTGGTTGTGTTGGTGACTCCTAGTATTATTTTTCTTTTTCTTAAATGATTTAGTTTGATTTATTATCAAACACATTTTGTTTTAATGTAAGGGAAATAAACACCAGGATTGCACATTAAATATATGACAGCAAAGTTCAGGAATTAATATTTCACAGAATTGTGCCTGATACGTTTTGATAACGGAAAATAGAAAACTGAACTTGGTTCCTGACAATTGCAAGGAAATTAGGCACTTTCCTTCAAAGTGGATTATCCTTGCCATATTCCAGGATTTTTTTTTTTAGTTTAGTGTTACTGTTAGATCGGCGGTAGAAATGATGAGGAGGCGTCTGAGGTAACCTTGAACCATTTATTCGAGCAAGAATGTAACGAACATCAACTGTGAGTAGACCGGCACCTCTCCTTCGTCTGACAGCCTTTTATACT